TTTAAGTATGCAGTTCAGATTGTGCTCGCAGTGATCTGAGTCTCTACATGAAATGTTCAGTGGACAATTTCAGAACATTTATTTTGCATCAATAAAAGCAACAAATCTTTCCATCGACCCCAGCGATATAAAGGTTAATTTGAATATTTTATAATCGCATTGCGATTCCACTGTGACTGAAAAGTAGTATAACTGAAATCATTCGGAGACTTAATTCAGAAAATAGTCACATTAAGCAGTATAATAAAAAGATGCTTAGCTATAATATAATCACTTCTCTGCAAATATTTAAGACTGAGGAAAAGTAATAAAAATATGTATTGTAATCACATATGTTTGCATAATCAAATATGATATTTGATGATACCGATTTCTAAGTATAAAAGTAACGCCATGAGCTATTGCAATACAACTAAAAACTCTAACAATTTTTTTCCAAGTCTTGCAGATAAGTTTATTTTTGAGCTTGCAGCTCTGTCTTCTTATTATATCATTCTGTGGCAAAAAGTATTATTTATGGGCGAAAATGGCTGAGAGATATTTATCGTGGAAATGTTTCATGTCATAATATAATTCAAAATCAAAAAAAGAAGTAACTGTGTATTAAAACTGTTTGATTTTTTAGGTATGCTTCCGATTACACTTGCATTAACTTTCATCTCTCTATGTACAGCTGCACCACAAATCTCGAGGAGTCAGATTTTTTTTATGAATAAAACTAAAATAGAAAGTTTGATTGTAGTAGTATTTCTCGCTGGTATGTATCGCATAATTGATCAGAAAGTTTCGACAAGTTGCTTTTAGTTCAGACTTCAGTAATTGAACCAACTGTATCAGCAACTACAAAAAAATCACTTAAATCAAAACTTTTGTTCTAACATGATTGCTTTAAAGCTTCTAAATTTGTAAACTTATCATTTTACACTGAATCAACATGCTAAATTACTATAAACTTGAATGTTTAAGTCCATGATTTCGACTTATATCGTTTTCAGTTTAAATTTGCTCGAATTTAAACAAATTCAAACATCTTTAATTAAGTATTTAACAAGTACTAATAATAAAATAATCTAACACTGTCCAGAAAACACTGCCCTAAAAAATGAACTGTGGTATTCAACGCCAATTACTGCAGCTGGGCCCGGCAGTGAGGTATCCTACTTTTAAATATTTTCAAATATTTATCACTAATAGATTCATACTTCATTTCCAAAAATGGACAATAATACAACGGAATCTTCGTTTTGTTTGGAAAAAAAATAATAAATTGTAAAGTTATTTGCTTTTCAGCTAGTTGTAAGCAAACATCTGAAATGTTTTAATTCTTATGTATTTCTAAAGTAAAGAAATGTTATCTTAAAAGACGGAAATCCTTTCTGTATTAGTAAAATGGCGATTTTTCATATTTATCTGAAAATAGTGTAATTTTTTGTATTTGTTTAGAAAATCAAGGGGTTCCTTGTAATTGTTATTATTGCGTCTTGATAAAGTCAAAAATGTCCAAATTCGTGAAAAGCACTTATTTTATATTGAACTTTTTTCTGACTTTTTTAAATTTTGGATCCGTGTTCGCTACATGTAACTTGAGTAACTTAAGAATTGAAGAAATATGCAAATGAAACAAGAAAATTATTTCTTGAACTCAATGAAATATTTTTTAGCTGGAAAACATTTCAGTAACTCTTCAGCGCTTGCGTTCTAATTGTACGGCTGAGCAAAAGATCATACAGGAAGTAATTCTTAGCTTTTGAAAAATACGTTTTAAAAAATGCAGCTTGATAAGATTTATTTTTAATCAATTTAGCACAGTCAATTGTACTAAAATGAAAAATTCATTATTTTAGAGTGCCACATTAAAGAAATGATCATATTTATATATCATGTTTATTTCTTAATTAGATAGAGTTAAAAGTGCTCTCTAATTTATTCAGTGCTAATTTAATTTTAGATAAAAAGTGGCAAAATTGAGAAGGATACATTCATTGATTACATAGAACACTTTGATATTTACTTCCGAAGAGAACTCCTGGAACTAATACCTGAAGGAATCTTTGCAAGTTTTTCTTGGCTTATGGGTACTGAGTAACTGCTTACAAACAAAGCATAGAAATGTGCTCAAGATAGAGTACAAAGTTTGATTAGAAGGGTGTATGTCAACGGCATTATTATTGTGAATAAAATACGTTAATTTAATGCTAAGTTACAACTTTGTATTTGCTTGAATGATGGAATCCCTTGAGTATGTTTATTAGTTAAACAGATATTTCAAAAAATAAATATTCAGTTGAACAAGTTTTTATTTTCAATGCAAGGAATCGAAGTAAGATAATGAATGAATTATATCTTTAAGACAATAATTTTTTAAATCATATCTCAATTTATCTTTTCACTACATGCTTCTTCATTGTACTTTGGAAGAATAAAATGATTTTTTAGAATACTAACGTAATGTAAAAAGAGTGGTTCTCCTGCATAGCATACATAAATGGAGTTTCTCAAGTAATACATTCACTGAAATAATTTTAAATATTTACAACAAGTACATCTATCACTTCTATTTCAGATCAGTAATCGACCAATTGTATTGAAAGGAGATCATTTGCTCATACTTGTCAAGTTCATTGATGGTAATTTCATCGCAAATTGTGAGAATCACAGAAATTAAATAAAGTTGAATCGAACTCTAACTTTATTTAGTTGAAATAAATGAAAAACAAATTTCTTTATTTCATTTACTAACTTTTTGACGTTTCCAAATTACTCAGTGCTCATAACCTTAGGTAATAAACTAAGCAGACTTGATTTGTTAACAAACATCAAATAATCAGCTAATAATATTTCTATTTAGTCATGCAAAATCTATATATTTAGTTATTATACTGGTTAGAAAATATGTATTTGTAATTTCCTACACAATGTATCTTTTCACTACGTGCTTCTTTAATCTACTTGAGAAGAATAAAATGATTTTTGAAAATACTAACGTAATGAGCAGAAAGTGGTTCTCCTTCACAGCATACATAAACTGAATTTCAAGCAAATTGAAGCAAGAATCACGTCGTATGTCTGGATGAAAATCAAATATATATAATGATTAAAATAAATGGTGCAATAAATAATAGATAAAATGAAAACCCGGAAATACTATAAACATTCCTCTTTTCCCATGTAACACCAATTCACTTATTTTGTCATTTCAATATTTAGTTTAGTGATAGCAAAACGTCAAAAATGTCATGATAATTGATAAACTTTGTAAATAGTCAACAGAGCCCAGAAAAAGATCACTTAAGATAGGATAATCATTATTTCAGTTATATTGATAAAAAATCGATAGTTTTGGAGAAAACTAGTAAAATATGTCAAGTGCAAAAAATCATCAGAAAATGGTGAAATAAAATCTTAACAAGATGCCTGTCATGAAATGAACTAGCTGAGAAACAAAATTACCAGTTGTAAGCAATAATTGTAGAAAATTTGACATGCTTAGGTTTTCTAATCTCAGCCAGTACACTAACGTAATACAGTTATACCAGACACATGAATGCTTTTGTAGCTCTATGATACTGACAAAAAATGAGTGCTAGATACAATTTTAGATGAAAGGAAAAGTGAATATGAATGAATGTATGCCATGCATTAATAAGCCTAATATTCGCATTTGTCAGTTGCTCATACAATCACAAGACTGCAAAGTAAAGGGAATTGTGAATGTTTATTAAAGAGTGCTACAGGTAGTGCTATGTTATCTTATTCTGAGATAAAAGCGAATGGTTAGGAGCTAGCAGTAAATATTTGAGTCTACATCGTTGATTATTCTCATTATTTCCATTTACAATTGCTTGTTTTCCCAGTAGATAATGTAGACTAGCTCTAAATCAATATATTTTATATCAGCTTTAACTTATAACTAATATTGGATTGTGCATGGGTACGAAATAGATTATTAGAAATGCTAAACAAAACTTACTCCTAAGATTTAGCTGGTGAAAAACGTCAAAATGAGTAGAATACTTTGTCTCATGATATAAATGTGAAATTTTGACTGACTTGCATGCAAAAATTCTAAATTACACTTTTTTAATCATCACATCAAGGTTTACTGGTTTTTTGTCAAACAAGAGAGAAGTTATAGGCTGGTTATATGCCGATTACTCCAAATTTCATGAGCGTATTATGTGTTGCAGGATTTGTCTTTGCATACATCCAATAGTTTGGAAAACTGATTTAATCACAAATCATTTCTACTTGAAAGCCTCAAACTTCATACTACACTGTTCTCCTCACATTCGAAAGCAAGTGAACTGAAACAGATGAATGTTGGAGCTTTTTGTTTGGTCAGCAAGGTGAAAATATGGTTGCATAAGCAACGAAAATGCATTACAGACGATAAGACCTTGACCTTAGATGATGATCTGCATGTTTTCACATATCTCAATTGTGAAATTGGACCGACAGGATAACGTATTGAAACTAACAAAAATTTTTGGGTTGATGCTGAATGAATAGATTGCACTTTATTTCTTATGAAAAGCACAGTTTGTGTTCTGTCATTTCAAATCAATTCTCTGATTTTCCATGTAGTTTTTATTTATAACAATTATTTTTCGATTTACGAATAAAACTAAATTGATGATGGTTAAGGAAGCATCACAAATGCATCTGAAGACATTACTTTATAATGATTTTGCTGATTTCCACAACTTCAAAATGATTTTTGCTTATCTTTTTACATATCACTGGGATCAGCCAAATTAACATAAAATCTCACTATTAAAACTAATAAAATGTGATGCTAAAATTAAAACCTTAACAGCCATCCTTTAGGATACTGTCATGAAAAGAACTCACTCCACTGAATTGATACATGAGTAACTTACATATGATTCAGCGCTTTCAAACTGATAGTACTACTAATAAATATGTCTGAAAACAAAGATCTATGTATAGTAGGATTCAGGAGCATATCAGAGATCTCAGATCTGGATCGTCTTAGTCCCTCAAGTTCCATAAAGTTTTCTGATAGCAAAAATATCATCTTCTCCAAGTTCGAGATCATTTTTCATCTGATCACTGTAAAAAAAATGTGCAGGCTAGCATGAATACTTAGTGGCAAAAAAAAATGAGCCCAATTACTTGTAGTAAGGATTCATGATTGCTTTCGGATCGTTAGAATGCCTGAGTCCAAGAGCATGGCCAATTTCATGTAATGCAACCTAAAATTGATACTAACTTTTTACGTTCAAAAATGTAATTTTCTGGTGATGTTCATTATAATCAAAAATTAGCTTTCAAAGAAGAATGCGAACAAAATAATCAGAACGAACATAACGGAGGTCAAGGCCATAACGGCCATCAATTGACCAAAATTCAGAACCATCGAAATGAATGATACCATCGGTAGGATACCCTGAATGTGCTACAATGCCACCAGCTCCATCAAATGACTCCTTATCACCATGTGCATACTTGGCAAAGAAAATATCTAGATTTGCGCCAACATTCATTGAAATATAGTTCGAAGGGGATCGATTTTTGAATACTAAAGCACCTCTAGATGACTTTGACCATTTATCGAAAGCTTGCCACAAAACGTCCCTTCAACGTTTGATCACAGATGACTGAGTTAGTTGTATCATTGTTAAAGACACTACTTTACATGATAAATTATTTACTTTTGATACTGAAGTTTAGGTTTTCACCATACTATAATTTTGAGAGATGAAGAAAACGAAAACTTGCGCAAAAACACTCATACATAACTCTTATCTATTTGATGATTAAATTGGGAAACTTTATTTTCAAAAGATTTTTCTGAAGTGCAGTTAAATCTGGAGCACCAAAAACAAACTTAACAATGACAAATTTTTGGTCGTTTTTGAAAAGATGGAACGGATCTCGAAATGACCAAGATAACGTTTTCGTGTACCATTTTCTTTCATTTAATGCTAAAATCATGAAAATCAACAGCACATGCTCCCGATCACCATACATATTTTGAAGTCGCGCAACGTGTTTCTGCACTACACTTTAATAAAATATTAAACTATGTAACAAATATTGTAATAAACTCCAATAAATTCTATTATAACTACATAGAAGAAGATCATGCCCTTTTAACCCAAGTTCATAGTATTCTTATGCATTTACAATATCGGAAACCAATCACATATACTTACCGTACCGTTTTTTCGGCCTGTGGTCTACAAAATGCGATTCATTTCGATGACAGATTGTATTGTTCATGTATAACAATGATACTTTTACACTTGGTGCCGAACTACTGAAAGATACATAACAAGCAGAGAAACAGAAAGTTCAACCTTGGTTACCTTCGTCAGTCATACGAGGAATAACAGGTCCATAACATATCTTTGAAAGCCGTATGTTTCCTAGCTTTCTTGAATTACCAGAAAATTTCCTGGTTCAAGTTCAATAAAAAACAAAAAAGCTACTTACAAAATAGTCGTAGTTAAATCTGCCGTTAGAAGGATACGTGCTATTGGAAAAAGTAGCATTGCCATCATTACTGATATATGTTGGGAATTGCATCCACATCTAACATTCTTTTCGATGGATCAGTGTCCGAAATTTGAGGATGACCTCATATATCAGACACAATTCGACACAATTCAGTAATGGTACAAACGACGCATAGATGGATCAATGCGAGCTCTGAGCACTTATAGTTTACTTAATTCTTCATGATGAAAATATTCCTAAATTGAAAGTCCTACACATTTGTTCTAGAAAACACCGTAATACACGACAGAATAACTTGGTATCAAATTTACTCCCTTCTTTGAAGTTCAATGATACTTCCTACACTAAGCGCCTTTGAAAATTTGATTATCAAATGATTTTGAGAGACAGAGGCCGTTTTTCAATAATTCATTGAGACATTTATTTTATTCCCAGTAATTTGAAACAAATGAACTACAATATTAATACATTTCACGTAATGAAAATTAAAAATAAAGGAACTGAGCACAGGTTAGCACCATACAAATCCATCATAATATTAATAAAGAAATGCATCATTGTAACGTCTCTTTTCTTTTTTATTCGTGAGCGGCACTTAAAATAAATATAATTAATTCCTGATACAAAAATACTTTATTTAAATTATTTATCATTACTTCCCGACTAGTTTAAAAACAAAACTAAAATTTCTTCAATTTACATTATATATTTTTAAACACTCCATGCTCATTATGTGCTGCAAAACATGGACAGACTAATAACCCGCAATTCCGAAAACTCAAATTTGTGTCATTTCATATCACAGGAAGAGAAGATCCTTCCAAACTTTCGAGCCTTTTGTCAAAATTATTTAACATAAGGAAAGCAGAAAAGAATCAAAGCTATCACATTATTCAGAGTACAATTCATACTTTTACCACGTTTTAATTTTTTTTTAAAACTTCAGTTAACGAAACATCCATCACAAATAACGACTATAGAAGAAAGAAAATCAATTTATGAGCAGTTACTAGATATATGAAAAATGCAAACCTTGACGATATCGTTGATCCACTGATCATCTGAGTGCTGTCTACAAAAAGGAAAAGATTATTCTCTGTAAAAGAGCAAAGACATGGATTTGGAATTAATATTCTGATTAATAATATCAAGCTGTACCAATAAGAACAAGAAATTTCATTACTTTTTTTATGCATAGAAGTAGAGGCAGTTTTAGACTCCTTTTGCTTTGACATAGAAGCTTCCTCTGTTGTCACTGAAAAACTGCCAGAATATACCTTCGCAACTGTAAAATATTATGTTATATAAAAACACGAAAAAAAACAATAACAGATGCTTAAAATGTACAAATATAAGTGAGAAAATCAATTAAAAGTTATCAGTACAAAAATATTTATGGAAAATTACTCCAAGACAACTCAATTCGTTGCATAAGTGTTCTAAATCTGAATATGTAAGCTTCAAAAGTTCGAATAAGAAAGACCAACGCTCTTCTTGAGAAATCGGAACAAGATCACTTGCAATAATCATTAATGAATCTTTGGTCGTGAGTGGTACCTCTAAAGTGCTTGTGCTTCCAAGAGTTCGATTTTCATCTGCAACAAATGCGTAGGTAAATTACAAGCGCATTTTGGACGACTTGAAAATGTCTAGCTGAAATTTCAGGATGTTTCATGCAAGGCAACCAAGTACATAAAAAATAGAATATAACGATTAGAAGCATACCAAAGTGCTGTTGTTTGTGTAGATCTTTTTGCGTCGATTTCTTACAAGTCGGGATCAATGATTTTGAAGAAACTACAGAGGCAGATAAGGATGATGACTTTAACATTTTGATTGACCTCTACATTGCGAGTGTATCAAAAATATATATATGAAAATCATTATTTGAAATATGTAAAACTCAGAGATGAAAAATGATTTAAATTCGATTAAAGAATCAAAATTGCACTTACCTCATCAAATTTTTCTTCACGACAACTTTTACCCTTACTGTTACTGGAAAGAGAAAGCTGTATGATAGCTTCTTTGCTTGGTTTCGAAAGCCTAATATGAGGAAATAGAAAAAACTTTCGTCGGTAGTGTCAGCTATCCCAAAGCATTTTCCTTTAATAAACTTTAACAAAGCTTTGTAGATTACGCTTTCAAAGAAATGAAAAATTGAGTAACCCTTTTTTTTTCGATTTCAATTTCTTCAAACGTTTCTCTCCAGAAACTTCAGAATCTTTAATGACAATCTCTGTTGGTCCGTATCCATCGTTTTTGACCTAATAAAAAAATATAAACAAGCAATGAAACATTAAACATAACAAAGAACAAAGCTGTTTAAAATAAACCGAATACTTAAACACTTTTTCAATATTTCTATACAGTACACATGAATATATAATATGACAATCCTAATTTCACAAGTATAAATCATTCAATTTAATTTCATAATTCTAAAGACCAACTTTTCGCTGAAATCGCAGGACTGAATACAAAATTTCACATATTTGGACAATGATGAAAAGTAATATGATGAAGGTTAATAGAAGAACAGCAAAACGAAGAGAATATATGCTTTCTCGGGTATATGTAACGAATTCTCTCGTAGTTAATACCAACTTGAACATATCTTACGAACTGCAAATATAATTAGAAGTGGATATAACTTTTAAATAAATAAGTTAATAAATTATATCAGTATGCACGACACGAAAAATCTACATCCACAGTTATATTGCCCGGTCAGCTTTGTCAGTAAACAAATAAGACTAAAAATACAGAATCCATCATAGCATTGCATGCTATGTGGTGAGAAAAATAGCATTAATTATGAAATAATGACGTTTTAAAAGAGTAAAAAGATTTGGTATTAACTAAAAATTAAAATTTTTGAGAGAAGAAATGGATGGAAGGAATTATCAAACAAATGGTCAGAACAAGATCTTGCATCACACACATTCATTTGCTACGCTCAAACGATATTCAAAAACTACCTGAGAATGTTCGCGAACCGCTATCTACTTTTTAGATGAATCTCAATGCTGAAAATTAATGTCAACAGTCTGTTTCGTATCAGTGGCAAAAAAACAACTAATCAATAGCCAAATGTATGTAAATTTTTGTAGTCTCGCGAAAAAGATTGATGGGTGAATGAATGAGTGAATCTATCAACTACTTTTAAAGATTTAGTCAAAGAAAAACCGAACTAATTAATAAACTAGTAAATAATAATTGTTAACAGATTATATCCACACTAAAAAATCTCCATCCACAGCTACTATGCTTGTTTTCTACAGAAAAGAGGATGATAGAAGGAATCACACATTTTCGAAGCACATTCACTTTACAATCTCTGAAACGTCACTGTACTCACTTTCAAATCATTATACCTTCATCAACCCATATTTTAGTATCAGTAAAAAGTTAACGCAAGTATCCAGCAATTTTCTCACTTCAGACTCTCATAATTTTTACTACAGAAATGAAAAATACACTCAAGTCTTTCCATAACTATCATAAACATAAACAAAAGTATACAAAGTACAGTGCGAAAGTTAGACGCTGTAGAATTCGCAAAAACTGAAGGTAAATTTAGCGACAACGCTTTGCAATGGATGCTGAACGGTACTGCAGTGTTTGCCTACAAAGTAGATCGCCACTTTGATCACTTCACTAGTTCACAATATGCTCAGCAAAGCAAATGCGGATCAATACATTTTTGGTAAGCAATGTATAATTTTCAAAGAAAATCACGTAGACAGATCCATTTCAAATCGAAGCTGGCATTACCGTTTCTATTCACATCTATCCTACTCCTTTGGGCGATGGTGTTGAGTTGAGCGTTGAGAGCTGCGTTTTCGTTAATTGTGAAATACGTGCCAGATTGTTTAGGCCTGAAACTTTCTGGTAATAATTCCCCAGATATTTCCCAGAGTTGGTGCGCATTTTCCTATACAAATTGTTGGAACAAATTTCCGTTTGGAAGGGTTATTTTTTCTTCAATAAGTGGGAAAAGTGTCGGACTTGATGAATATTAATTCCAAAGGATAATTGGGAGAAATATTCAACACTGGCAGGGATTATTTTATTTTATTACTGAACTGTTTTGAGCTTGCAATTGTCGTTATGGCTAATTAGATGCGAAATGTATACGAGTTAAGACAAAGCTGTTAGCTTATGTGGTAAAAGCAAAAGATGAAATTTTTTTAGGCCTTGAAATAACTCTTGGTTTTGTCTGATCTGAACAAAAATGAATCGAAAAAGTATTTATGTAAGTTTTGTATTATCGCATAGCATGATATCGATGATTCTTAATAACTGGTTATGAAAAATAAGATCTGAAATTCTCTAGGCACTTTATATTCGTCTTATATTTTAATTGTACATGGTAAGAACTGAACGTAGGTTCGAGTGCTTATACTCGAGCTATATTACCTTGTTCAGAACTATGGTAGCTACGAAAAGTGCGGATATGCGCATAGCAGCCATGGAGAGAATAATCGTCTCGAAGAAGTAATTTTTCCACTTTCTATGTATTCCAATCAGCATAGATGTATTTGTGGTAGTAATTATTCCTCTATGGTGCTGCTCTTCTATTATTCCTTTTGCGTTTATTACTTTTAAATTTGTAAAATGAAGAGTGAAGCATTGACACTATCCTCCTATATCAGATATTAAGACAAAACTTATAAATGTTTGATACATTGAAGAAAAAAAGACGGGAATCTCTTAAAAGTTTGTGCTTATGAATAGGTTTTATTTTAACTTCTGATAGGACAACGAAAAGTAACCGTATTTGATAAAATTCGAGCCTGTTTTTTAATTTCCAGCCTAGTATAACTAATCCAGAACGAGCAAAGCTAGGGTATAAACAACCTGTATATGCTACAACAATTTCTTCAGAGCTACTAAGTAACAAACCAAAGATGCAATTTGGGACTCATTTTGTGAGTAAATTCACAAACTTGTTAATGATGGCAGTAAATTAAATTAACCAGTCCTTTTAGTTTAAGATTATGGCAATGAAGTCATTAAAATGTTTCCTGTTACTGCAGGTAGCAAGAGAGGATAAAATCACTTCCATTCATGGCGAGAAAGTTCTCTTTGATCCCCCAAAGGATGTTAATATGAATTATGAACAGTTGCATAATGAAGTCAGTTCACATGAGTTGATTTCTGTCTTAATCTATTTAAGCAAGCACAAGGATTCAAGATCTGAAAATCTGTTTTTCTAGTTGACTCTGAAAAACAATGGGTTTATTGAAAAATTTGCTAATAACAAAGATGTTCAGCAGCGTAGGAAGAATCTAGTTTGTTCAAGAGTCATTATTGACATTTTTTGACGAGTAATTGCAGATAGCAGGATTTACAAGAAGCGAAGCAAATAAAATTGAAATTGTGTCGTTAGGGACTATTCAGGCTATCAAGAATGCAACTGATAAGGTTTGGAATTTTCGTTGAGAAAAGATTTCATACACTATTTTATGCATTTATATGAAGCTAAAAATGATATTTTACAGTCAGCGATATTAAGAACGCAAGATGCAACGTCAAAGTGCAATCTTCGTCGTGGGCGTACAGTCTCATTGACCAGTAATGTGGGTTTTATAAGTTGAAATCTGAACTGATCTTATAAGTTTTTTCAGAGATAGCTGATACTCTTAACAACAACCTTTTTGATTCCGAGAGAGATGAAAATAGTTCAATATTTAATTGAAAATGCATAAATAAGATGGTGCTTAAATTGTGTTACGCGACTAAATTGTGTCATGACCTAGTAAGTGAGGTTGTTATAAGTAGACTATTTTCATCTCATGAATTTTCCAGGTAAATGATACTGTAAGCGAACTTTGCGATAATATTGATCCACAGAATCCGCAAAATTTATCTGCATACAGAAGTGCAACATTACTGGTTCGAGAAGATAAGGTCAGCAGTTTTAACTAAAAGTGTAAAATTCTGTGGATAAAATTCCGAATATTGTTGATTAAAAAACTAATTGTTCTTATTTAATTTTTTCCCGCTTGTTAATGTTTATGAAGCGCAGCAGTTGCATTAGATGAGATGAAAATTTTCTTGCATATTCTTAGTACGAACCAATTTTAAAGAGGGTTTCTGAACGATATTCTTATGAATGCAGAAGTGAAAACATTATAGAATGTTTCTAGAAATACTATTAGAATAACTTAACGATAGGTCCTTTTTTCACTTAAAAACAAAGTAAAAGATATTTTATTTCGAGTGCACATCTATAGTATATTCGATTTCAGCAGGTGTTTAGTACGTTCGTTTTTCAGTGTAGTAGTTGTCCTATAATTAAAAGCTTGATTATTTTATTTTACACTTATTCTTTTTGCTTTTTTTCAGTACTAAGTATAAACTATTATTTAGCCTTTGATACATTCGATTTAAATAGTTCTTTACATCTAGTTTAGCAGACTTCAATAGTCTCTCACTGTCGAGATTGATCAATCAACTCATTACAGTTGATTGATTCATGTGACAGAATTTTAAAGCTCTTCAGAAACTAGAATGAATAGTGTAAAAGCTGAGAGAGCAGACTTCTTTTCTTTATGAAGGTTGCAAAGTAAAGGATATTGTTGGAAAGTTTTTCTTTTTGTTGGTTTTCAGTTAATTATGTATTAGTTCAACTTCATCGTTTACCGTGTACTCTGTGCTGTTTTTTATTCGTCTGATTTTTCGTAGGTTAATCAATGTAAAAACAACTGTCTGCACAGTGCAAGTTCTCAGTTACTTGGCACTCCTTGTTGCGAATCATCTTTTAACGGCTACATTTGAAAATTAAATGTTTGTCTTTCTCTTAAATCATTGGACATTTCGAATTATATATCATATTAGAATTTCGTTTTTATCTTTTGTTCTAGAGTTTCAAGTATCCACAAGGATTTGGAAATTTGGAGGCAAACACTCAATCAATCGAGAAGAAAGTAACGGTGGTTCTTCTAATATTCTAATATTTTGTATTTTTGTATCTAGCATAGTTCTTTAATAAATAATAAGGTTATTAAACACGGAAAATTTTTGAATTATTTCATGTATGTTAGGTGGTTTAATTGTGTTTCTAGAGATTAAAACTTTTTCTACGACTATATTCTAAATCAATTTAGCGATGAAAACATTTTGAAGACAACATTTTAATAAGAGAAGGTACGAATCTTAGCTGCATTTTTAATTCGTCCTTTTCTGTGTTTATCTTCAGGAATTGTGTGATGTTAATTGCGCTTCAGCAGATTGTCTATCTTGTAATACGACTGACGTTAACTCTCAGGCAGTGTTGAAAAGGAAAAGGCTTTCTCTTTTGGCGGTTCGTTGGTTATTGTATCTTTAATTTGAATCGTTGACTGCACTTAGTGCATATCCTATGCGTTGAATTTAGCTTATCAAGTAGCCATTTAATTTGTTACGTTCCTAATAATTAAATATTAGAATTTATTTTTAATAAATAATAAATACTCAAAGATGTGTGGAGTAATTTGTCTCTGCTTCTTTTTCAGAAATATTGTGACCCTGATGTCACTCTAACAAATTCGTGCAATAATACCGTCATTCAAAAAGTATGCTCTCCTTTATTTTGCAATTTATTGTTCGTTGGGATGATGGTGTGGAATTTTTTTCTAGTGGAAAATGAGTAGTTTTTGATATTTAAGGATATCTCGCTTTTGAAGCAAGATGCTGCATCATCAAATTCTAAATCTCCAGCAGAGTATGACGGTAACAATCAAATTGGCTTGATTTGTACAAGTACTAGTGCATGCAATTCAATTGGATGTCAGTCATCATCTGATGAGACTAAAGTTAGTGTCTAGTATATCTGTGTTTGATTTGTACTAGTTTGTCTGTAAACTGTAAACCTAGCCTACTCCCAGTAAATAGTGAAACTGCTTCAGAAATAATAAGTTAATAGAAAGAACTCAAACAGCTACAGAAGTCCTACTGTTTTTTATTTATCAGTTTAATAGTCCATACCAGTTTTAAGAAATTGCTGCTCAAATCTTTTGTAAAGATAGTTTTTGAGTGATGAGCTTATTTATTTTGATTTGTTAAAGATGATGGATTCATGAATCGGTGGATACAAATATACTTTTTTGAGTCATTTTCAGAAGTATGAAACTCAGTATTTCAGGGATTTATCTTTCAGAAATCGTGCAAAGATGAGTGTAAAAAGCAGTCCATTGTCACACAACGCACTATAATTTATCCAGAAAATGGGTTAGAGCCATGCTTCGCGAACAGCATTTATTGTTTTAAATATGAAAATGTTAACAATGTAGAAGTGGAGGATATGAAAGTGGCAAACTCAGTTGCTGATCAGAAGAAGGAACAAATAGTAACTTTGTCACAAAAGTTTAGTTTTTCCGTCTAGTGTTACATCCGATGCGATATTAGTTTTAATTTTCATTTTTTGATGTCTTATCTTTTTTTAGGACGCTGATAAAGCAGTATCGGTACTTAATATAATGCTTCAACGGCATCTAGCTAATGGAAATCAAAATGGATCTTTCATTCAAACTAAAGAGCCAGTGAATGGTTCTTATTCAGTGCTATCTGAAGATAAAATCACAAAATTGGATTCTGTGGATTCTGCGGTGCATTTTCTTGAGTATTGTAAAATCATTCAGTAGCGTTAATATTTTTTACCAACAATCTAGATGTTTCTTGTATAAATGATTTGCTATTTGTTCATGAGGATGTTCAGATTTTTAGCGGGAGTAAAATTAACTCAAGATCACTCTATCTTTCATGTTTTAGAAAGACAGTCTACTGAATGCTAATAGATGCGACTTGCCGTCATCTTGCACAGATTATTTCTCTGTCAGTTCGGAGGTATTCTGCAATTTCGGTTTATTCATAATTTCAGCAGATTTATTTTATTGATCAGGTTTTTGTTATAAATTCTATGATTTAAACAACTCCTTGAGTTTGTCCTTTTTTAAGGTTATTTAATTCATTAAGATTTTTGTAAGTGAGATTTAAGAGAAAGACGGAAGTAGCTATGGATTATAAAACTGAATGCGCAGCGCAAGAGCCAAATGAGAATTTCGATCGATATAGTTCGGAAAAGAACGTTAAAAGTACCCCACTGAAGTGGTGCAGTGATAGATCTACAGTTCGGTACGTTTAACCATCGGAGGAAGGCTTTTAGCATGTATTATTTGCTAATCCATCATTAGTTCTTATCTTTTTTCTACTGCTTTTTTTATACTCATACTAGCGCAATAATTGAATATCGCATGTCGAAATCCATTGCAAACGTGTTGTAATATTCTAGAAGTTTGTCCCAGCACATCATTTAAGTATTTAAAATTTGTCATTTTTGTTAATAATTTGCGTTGGATAGTGTTTTTCCCTCATATTGTAATGTGATACCAGATCAGGATTCTTGTATCATTTTCCGATAATTACGATCATCCCCATCAGTATTGTCACTTGTATATAATATGTATTTCTCTGGGTCCGTCTTTCAAATTAAATTTAATTGTTAACTATTTTCTCTTGAGTCTGTCACGTAAAAATTTTCTTAGTATATAATGTAGTTACTCTCAGCAAGCATTTTTCAGTGATCGAATGCCAAGAGGTCAGACGCGTAGACTTGCATTACTGTTTGAAACTATGAGTGATGCTGCTTGCACAGAAATGTTACGAGAATATGATAACTTAAAGCGTCGTGGTAAATCAGTGCCACCTGCTTTTACCAACAAAAATTATCAAAGGAAGTATGATTTGGGCACGCAGCAATATGATCGAGGTCTTTTTCTAGAATTTATGAGTTTTTCTGTTAGTTTGAAAGCCAAAATATCATGCAAACCAAGAAATGCGAACTTTCAGGTGTTTCAGAGTTTACTATGGAGCCTACAAATCATCCTAGTGATTTTAACCGTGCACGCACATATCAACATAGTATTTTTGGTGAACACTTGGAAGACAGTAGAAGCAATATGGAAGTACGAAACGTACGGAACATTGAAAGCCGGTTAGCTTTCATATTTTAACTTCTTATTTTAAGCTGCATTTTTTCACATAGTATTTATAGACTAGAATCATCACTGAATGGAAGTCCAAGTATTTCTCGGAATATTTACGTGGATGGAAAGCAGCAAAAATTAGCAAATCAGGAGAAGTATTTACATATTGATACCAAAGATTCAAAACCGATACCGGATGGAGACAGTGACAAAAGTATACTAAAAAATTATTATGGTGCCCCAACGAATTACGACCTTTACAAAAATGCAAAACAACCGTCAAGACAGTCAAATAAATGGTTCGGATATATAGATCATGAAAATAGCTCGAGTCCATCACAAAATTCAATGTGTGGTAATGCAAGTTATATCGGTGTTTGGGACCATCAACAATATGAGTTGGGATTGCTCAAGGTTTTACCTTATTTTTTGTCAGTTCAGATTCATCTATGGAATCGAATTACTTGTATAATATTCAGCAGTAAATTTGTGTTGGATTCTTGTCAGTTGTGCATATTTTTTAGGGAGTCACCAATTTGAAACGGTATGATAGCCGCAGCAATAAAGCACTAGATGAGGTAGTATTTGCACATGTTAACAATAGATGCTCATATTTATACCTGTTGGGAACTATTTAATTTTTTCACTAATACCATTCGCGATTCTTACACTGCTTGTGAATATGTAAGAGTATATAAAGTTACAAGGCGAATATTACCAATTTAATTCACGTTTTTTTTTCTCTATATTTAGGGATAACTGATTTTTGACTCTAAACTGCTTTAATGATAACGAGCCGAATAGCAGTTCAGCTAAATCTACATTTATATTGTCCGGTATTACGTAATTTGTAAATATGCACTGCAGGCGCTAAAGTGCATCCAATTTTATTTTCAGCAGGCTCGTTTTCGTCGAATCGATCACAGTATAGAGCGTCATCCAGAATTTCACTCGAAAATTGTTGGTGATCGTTTCCAACGTGAGATCTTGATCATTTAGTATCTTCAAAAAATATATCTTCTGTTTTTCTAGCAATAATTTTGTAGGTGGTTATGGTGAAGATATTGGACGAGAAGTAATGGATAACGTTGCTGAAGTGGAAAAAGCTTTTGATTTCGTCAACAAGGTATAATTTTGAAATTAACTGCCCAATTTGTGAGGTATTGTAATCCCTTACATTATGTGTATGTATATTGATGAAACTTCCCATAAACGGATAGTGACTAACTTCCACAAAAGCTATGCAAAGGAGATCAGTATATATATCACGCCAAGGCATGTATTTAATCGATAATCTCAAGAAGACACTGGAAAGTATCTTATTCGATAATCGCTATGGATTTCACGAGGACAAAGCGAAAATGATCAGTACAACAAATCTGCGCGTGGGACAAGTACAGCCAAATTGCCGGGATATACGATCCTGCGCCAGAATTAATATGGCGAGAAAGAAAATCAAGTTCTCTCTCTCTCTCTCCCTATATATATATATATATATATATATAT